GTAAACAAAGGAGGAGGCTGCAATGCTTGGTAAGAAATGTACGCATTATCCTGCCCATGCAATTGTAACCCCTCTGTATAGTATTTTCACAAATAAAATTAAAAAAAAACACAAAATAAACTCCAAGAAATGGAAAAAAAAAAAAAGATTTTGAGGCTCTGTCTCACCAAAGTTAAATATGTGCTAATACAATGCCATATCCTATATCTTGAAGCAAGGTTGGAACATTAGTAGAAAAATTGGTGAAGTAATCTAAAGTAAACTGGTGAAGTTAATAGGAATGTAATTATCTTCTTAGTTTTGACAAATGGACTACAGTTATGTAAGATGGAACATTAAATTGGTTGAAAGATACACAGAAACTTCTGTACTATCTTTACAACTTTTCTATACTTCAACAATTAATTTCCTAGAGATACTATTTAAAGCAATTAAAGGTGAATATAGCTTTGCTTAGATGCCCCACAACTAAGATGGGGAAATCAGAATCTCCAGAGGTTGAACCTGGGCACTTGTATATTTGAAGTCTTCCTTGGTGATTCTCATGTACCTGTACCACAGGGCTGAGAAAACCACTGCTCTCTTCCTTGAGTACCAGGGGATCTAGGATCCTGATTTGTTCTTTGATATACTCTAAGCTCCTAATACATAGTCTATATGGAGCTTGTGTGTTGTGGCCTTGTTCAATGAACCTTTGTTTGAAAGAAAATCTATTTTGTATAGTCTTTTGAAACAACAACCAAAGAAAGAACAGCAGCCACACAAAACACCTAGGAAGATGGATTTTCAGACATTTTCTGACCCAGCTAGAATAGCTTCAATTCTGACCCTAGTCTTTTGTCATTTTCAGTTCAACTTTGACCCTTTATCATCAGATGAATATTTCTAAAGTATAAAAACTGCTACCCCATTGTTCAAAAGTCTCATCTACTTTCCAGATTCCGAATGAGTAATATACTTCTTAGGTCAGCAAAATTGTCTATACTACAATAACAGATTCACTGACTAATGAAAGTTTTTTTTAGCATGCAGACCAACTATTATCATCTGGACTCTATTATAATCTTATGTAGTTATCTTTTTTTTTTTGTCGGTCGTGGGGTCGTGGGGCTTGAACTCTGGGCCTGGGCGCTGTCCCTCAGCTCTTCAGCTCAAGGCGAGTGCTCTACCACTTGAGCTACAGCGCCACTTCCGGTTTTCTGGTGGTTTATTGGAGATAGGAGTCTCATGGTCTCTCCTGCCCGGGCTGGCTTTGAACCGCGATCCTCAGATCTCAGCCTCCTGAGTAGCTAGGATTACAAGCGTGAGCCACCAGCTCCCAGCTTATGTAGTTATCTTAAACTCACACTTCTCTGGATCACCTGCAATGCTGCTGCTTACCTATGCAAATCCTTTCCATCTTTCCAGCAACAGGTGAGCACTTCCTGTTCAAATGGCTTCAGCCTTACTGTTTCCTTTGGGAATTAAAAATTTTTTTTTGATTGCTGGGCGCTGGTGGCTCACGCCTGTAATCCTAGCTACTCAGGAGGCAGAGATCTGAGGATCGAGGTTCAAAGCCAGCCCGGGCAGGAGAGACTGTGAGACTCCTATCTCCAATAAACCACCAGAAAACCAGAAGTGGCGCTGTAGCTCAAGGGGTAGAGTGCTTGCCTTGAGCTGATAGAGCTAAGGGACAACGCCCAGAGTTCAAGCCCCACGACCGACAAAAAAAAAAAAAAAATTTTTTTTTGGTTGTTATTATAAAGGTGACTGTTGTATTGCCTTGGTGAGACTGGATGAAGCCCAGGCCTGTGTGCACAGAGGTATCCTAATTACTCAGCACTTACCATGACGCTGTCACACAGTTAAGCAGGTATAATTATTTAATGTATATTTTGCACAAGTACAATATTTAAAAAATAAAAATAGAAAATAAAAAAGTCAATGACCAAAAAATGGTAAACAGCATTCATTATTCTAAAGAGTCCAAACTAAGTTTCATTCAAGTTATAAGGGGGGGGCAAATATGTTTAAATTATATAGTACACATGTATGGAAATATCACAATGAAACAATTACTTTGTACAATTAATATATTCTAGTACAAATAATTTGTTATAAAAAGAATTGTCCAAATTAAGAGGCACCTAAAGTCCCACTAAAGTTTTTATGCTATTATTATAGCAATAACTGAACCAAGTTTATAAGAAAACTGTATACTTCCAAAATTTTAAGTGTCTACCATCACTTTATCTGCTCTTAAGAATTAATCAATTAGGGCTGGGAAGGTGGCTCAGTGGTAGAGTGCTTGCCTTGCATGCCTGAGGCCCTGGGTTCGATTCCTCAGCACCACATAAGCAAAAAGAAAAAAGCCTGAAGTGGCTCTGTGGCTCAAGTGGTAGAGCGCTAGCCTTGAGCTGAAGAGCTGAGGGACAGTGCCCAGGCCCAGAGTTCAAGCCCCACTACCAGACCCCCCCCCAAAAAAAAAGAATTAATTAAGCCAGATATGATGGCTGAAATCTGTAATTCCAATCACCCAGGAATCAAAGATTTGGAGAATCCATATTGGAACCCTGTCCAGGCCAAAAAAAAAAAAGAGAATTAATATCAATAAGTAAGCCAAGTATGGTGGCACATGCCTATAATCCCAACTAGTCTGGAGGCCATAGGTAGGGAAATCCGGGTCTGAGAATGGCCCCAAGCAAAACATGAGGCCCTCCATGAACAAATAACTAAATCATAAAAGAGCAGAGGCATGGCTTAAGTGGTAGATTACTTGCCTAGCACACACACACACACACACACATTCTAGTGGAATATTATCTAAAAAATGTTAGTTCTCTCAGAGGTATGGTTTATAAATGGGAAATAACATGAATAAAAATTGTCAAAGTCTATATGTTTTAAAACATCACACATAAAATATCAAGATACATATTTTGTTGGTCTACAACTTTATGATTGAGCATTGCTAAAACAAAACATAACTGTAGACGTCATTTTCTTGTCGAATCTCTTGAGGGGAATGTGGAATTGCTGATATTTCTGGTTCTTCCACTTTGGCTTTTTCCTTCACTTCTGGAAAATAAAATGAAATACAAGAATGGATTCAGTAAACTTTGGGACCATTTATTATCCACTTTGAGGGGAAAAAACCTACCTCATACATGCACAAAAACTAATTTCAAATGGAGCAATTTTTTTTGTCAGTCATGGGGCTTGAACTCTGGGCCTGGGCACTGTCCCGCAGCTCTTCAGCTCAAGGCTAGTGCTCTACCACTTGAGCCACAGTGCCACTTCTGGCTTTTTCTATTTATGTGGTGCTGAGGAATCGAACCCAGGGCCTCATGTATGCAAGGCAAACACACTACCACTGAGCCACCTTCCCAACCCTGGAGTAATTTTTTTTAATCTGTCATCATGGGGCTTGAACTCAGGACCTAGGCACTGCCCCTGAGCTTTTTTGCTCAAGGTTAGCACTTTACCACTTGAGCTGTACAGCATCACTTCCAGTTTTCTGGTGGCTAATGGGGATAAGAGTCTCACGGACTTTCCTGCCCACACTGGCTTTGAACTACAATCCTCAGATCTCAGCTTCCTAAGCAGCTAGGATTACAGGCATAAGCCACCAGTGCCCAGTCTCAAATGGAGTAAATATTAAAATATCATGATAATTTTAATTGCATACTATAGAAGTAATAGTGTTTGCTGGGTGCTAATGGCTCATGCTGTAATCCTAGCTACTCAGGAGGCTAAGATCTGAGGATTGTGGTTCAAAGCCAGCCTGGGCAGGAAAGTCAATGAGACTCTTATTGCTGACTAGCGACCAGAAAACCAGGAGTGATGTTGTGGCTCAAGTGGTAGAGCACTAGCCTTGAGCTGAAGAGCTGAGGGACAGCACCCAGGCCCAGAGTTCAGGCCCCATGACCAACAAAAACAAAAACAAAAAAACAGTCTCTACCTGGAGGAAAAGTGTAAACTTTCTTAGCATCTTCCTCTTGTGCTGTAGGTTCCTGGCTTTGGGACCCACCCTCTTCTTGGTATGGTTCTAGAAGGCATTCTTTAGGCACATCTCTCTTCTTAGTAGAGAGATCTTCAGGCCCTTGGTATATTTCAGGCGAATAGTCTTCATGCTCAGGTGTTTCTTCATATGTCTCATGAGAAAAGTATTCTGGTTCAACTATTTCTTGGTATGTTTTCATAGAATGGTTTTTAGGCACAGCTACTAATTTGGTCTCAGTTATTCCTTGATCTGGTTCAGAAATGAGTTCCTCTGGTCCAGCTGTTGGTTGAGTTGTGTCAATAGCATAGCCCTTAGGCTCCTCCAGTTTGGGAGGTGCTTTGGGAGGACATCCTGCTAGGTCAGCTTTGGGAACAGCCACTTGTTGGCACACTTTAGTTGAGGAGACTTCCGATTCAACCATATCTTGGCACATTTTCAAAGGATGAACTTGAAGTACAGCCATTTCCTGGCTTATTTTAGGAGAGAGAACTTCAGGTTGAGCTATATCTTGGCATACTTTGGAAGAATGGTCTTGAGCTTCAGATGCATCTTGGCACATTTCAGAAGGATCATCTTGGTGTACAGCTACTTCTAGGCATATTTTAGGAGAAGGATCTTCCGGTTCAGCCAGATGTTGGCATGTTTCAGAGTAAGGGCTTTCAACCACTATTTCTTGGTACTCGGAAGAATTTTTCTGATGGGAAACACTTTCTTGGTGTATGTCAGAAGAATGTTGGGGGAAGGCTATGGAAGGAAGGGCTTCAGTTACATCCCTAAGTGGCTCCATTTCTTTTCCCGTGGGTACCAGTTCTTTCTCCATCACTCGCTTTGCTGTTTGTGACCGAGGCTTCACCTTCGGTTCTGCATTTCCTTCTTTCTTTTGGCCTCTTTGATTTCCTTTTCCTGTTTTCTGCCTTTTGCGTTTTTTCTCTTCTCTGCAGAAAGATTAGAATTAGTGTAAGCCGAACAGCTATAGAATTCAAATAAAAAATATAAAGATTCTAGAGTTCTCATTGCCTTCTTCACAATCTTGAACAAGACATTTAATCTCTCTGGACTTCAGTCTCTGTTTGTAAAATGAACTGTGCTAGATACTCTCAATTGTGAGATTTCCAAAGTGTGTGTGCATGTGTATGTGCACACGTGTGTGTGTGTGTGTGTGTGTGTGTGTGTGTAAGGTTACCTAGGTGACTGGCAGACCTGGAAGAAGTCACCTTCCCCTCCCGCTAGGTCACATCCTGGACCATCTCTGATCTCATGCCTCCCATCTGACCTTAGGAGGGTCCCAGACCTTGAATCACATTCAGATCCAGTGTGGCCACACCTTTTCCCCACCTGGCCACACCTCTTCCTGTCCCTGGCTTAGATAAGTCCTGGCCCAGAGGTGGATTTTCCCCCCTCTCTCCCCCCCTGTTCCCCCCCCTGTTTCTCCCCCCCCTTTTTCCTTTTCAGCCATGCTTCTCTACCATACATGGTGGGGGGCAGCAGTTTGGTAAGTAAACTTCTTCTCCTGCCTGAAAAGCACGTGGTGTTCTCTTCATCAGCTACCTAATGAAACCTATTTAATATACCTTACTCTGTGTGTGTGTGTGTGTGTGTGTGTGTGTGTGTGTGTGTGTGTGTACCTCACAGGCATGCATGTGTGTATTAGGGGAGAGTATTGACATTCTAGTTTATACAGTCATGTCTTTGGGTTTGGTAACTGAGTTTCTAGACCTACAATGCAGCAGGGATCCTCACCCTGCAGGCTCAGGTGGGTGGAGTATTTGTTTGTCTGATAGTGTTTTCTGAATAGGTTACTGAGTAGCTAAGGTATATGAGAAGTGGTCAAAGCTGAAAAACAAATTTTTGAGGTTAGCTAGTATAGTAGCAAGGCACAAGTGGCCGTCTTAGACTTAATGAAGAGAGTCATGCTCTAGAAGATGAAAGGATATGCATGGAAACAGCAGCAGTGACAAATTGTTAGGGACTGCCAAATACAGATGGCTAATTTAGGTGGACTGGGAGGTAGGGAAAGCACCTCCATCATTCCTCCAAACTTGTTGAAATTTTGAATCTTTTAGGAAAGTTTCCCCAGTTACTACTTACTACATGATTTGTTATATAGATCTCCTTCTGAGGAGATCTCAGTAATATAGTAACCACATCCTTCTTGAAAAAAAAAAATGTGCTGGGAAGGTGGCTCAGTGGTAGAGCGCTTGCCTTGCAAACATGAGGCCCTGGGTTCGATTACTCAGTACCTCATAAGCAAAAAAAAAAAAAAAAAGCCTGAAGTGGTGCTATGGCTCAAGTGGTAGAGTGCTCGCCTTGAGCTGAAGAGCTGAGGGACAGCGCCCAGGCCCAGAGTTCAGGCCCCACGACCAGACCCAAAAAAAAAATCTGCCCAGCCTAAACTTCAATCTGTATTCCCATGATCGTTGGCAAGTTGCCCACCTCTCCCAGCTTTGGCTTCCTTACAGGTAAAATGAGGTAAATAATGGCAGCCTAACTTCACGTGCTGGATTTACATAGAAACCTCCACGGAGGAGTCATTCAAGTACTGTATAAATTGGTACTCCCATATTAGTATTGGGAACAATAGTCCTTTTCCCACGTGTTGGAAGTAATTGTTATCTCATAGAATCTACAAGTCAGCCCCGAGGTGGATACAGTTATCTTCCCTGATAAAACTGAGGCACTGAGGAGTGGAGTAACTTGCTCAAGGTCAGTGGCTAGGAAGAGTCAGGCTTCAGATCTAGTCAGTCTAGCCTGTCAGCCAGGCTCTGAACCATTTGCTACTTGCTGCTGACACCTCTAAGGTTTCACTAAGGCCATGTATTGTGAGAGAAGAGAGGAATGGCCCCCCCTAACAAATAGATGTGTCCCCAGAGCAAGTCTCCAGGTCTGTAAGCTACACAATCTAATCAGCACAATGACAACACTAGCTGTGTATTTCAAGGGGCAGAGCATCTTGTTCAACTGGGGTGGGGTGGGGAGGAAGGGAAGGAAAAGGTAGGGAAAAGGAGAGGGGGAGAAACCGGTAGTTAACAGAGAGAAATATAAAGTGACAGCCGGGAACTGTTGGCTCACACCTGTAATCCTAGCTACTCAGGAGCCTGAGATCTGAGGATATGGTTCAAAGCCAGCCTGGGCAGGAAAGTCTGTGAAACTCTTATCTCCAATAAAAACCACCAGAAAACCAGAAGTGGCCCTGTAGCTCAAGTGGTAGAGTGCTCGCCCAGAGCTGAAGAGCTGAGGGACAGCACTCAGGCTCAGCGTTCAAGCCCCATGGCCAACCGAAAAAAAGAAAAAGAAAAAAGAAAGAAATATAAAGCGACAGGCAGAGAATGCAAGAGAAACAAATGTGGGCTGGGAAGGTGGCTCAGTGGTAGAGCGCTTGCCTTGCATGCATGAGGCCCTGGGTTCAATTCCTCAGCACCACATAAGCAGAAAAAAA